AGAACGTCAGACTGCGCCATAGCCAGTAATAATGGATCATCGAAAAACTAATTAAAAATGATAATTAAAAATAATGTATGATCATAATGATAATCTGTGATAATATCGAATTATTCACATACCTTGTTTACGGAAACATCTTCGGACAATCCCTTACGTCTTCGAGTTTTCACCATAAAGTCTCTAGCTAAATGTTGCGCTGGACTAGGTTCCAAAGGTCGAAGAACGATACTTTTATCCAACGGATCACCAGGAACAATCTAGAGTGATTAAATATAGATATCACGCGTTAGTAAAATATACATATAATAATAAGATATAAAAATAATCACCTGCCAATGATCAAACATTTGTTGACAAAATGCCTGTCCTTGTGTATGAGTTCTTAAGTCTGTTTCAAATCCATTTGCCTCAATTACAGGAATATAAGCTTTGACAGTATATAGTGGAGAGCCTGCCTTTGGAATATCCTGTGTAACATGTCCTCTAATAAACAATGAAAATGTTAAAATTTAGAAATGAATCAAGGAAATTAATAGATTACAATACCTCCTTCTGGCTAAGACTGTGTACACAGCCGAAACACAATCAGCAGGCGCTTGAATTTCAACATAATATACAGGTTCCATCAACCTTGGCGTTGCCTATTTATTTTGTGTAATGTTTTTTGATGTTTATACAAAAATTCGTATATACCGGTTTTTATATATAAATTATTATGCATCAAGAAAAACCGGTCAATATACCGGTAAATTCCAAACTCTATTTCAAACCTTAATAAATGTCGGGATGATGCTGAAATCGAATGATGCTGGAATTTTGACTTACTTTATTATGAAAATTTAAAATTTTTTGAGGGTTTGTTCAGCTTTTTTTTTTTATAGTTAGATTAGAGTTTAGGGTTAATGTTTATAATAAAAGAGTATAGGTAGATTTTTATATTTCAAATTAAGTCCCTAAATTTCAGCATCATCCCCGACAATAAATAAGTATATAAATATATAAGACATTACCGTAAGAAATGCAGAATAACAAACACGTCTTGCTGTGGGAATTACTTGACCGCCTCCACGGAATAAAGGTTCAGGTGCTATAACGGCATCTAATATCCTAAATTTGACATTACGTATAGCTTAAAACAAAGCGATTAAATGTCATGTTAATTGACTTTATAATAATTATGTAATTATCAAGGATACCTACGTTCATCACACAAAGGTCCTTCTCGAGTACCCCATTGAAAACCTTGTCGTATTGAATCTCGAACAAGTTTCATAAGATCTTTGTTTACCTGAAGAAAAAAATGAATAAAATAAATAAAAAATAAATAAGAGAATATAATTAGGTAATGATTTCACTGAAGTTTTAATAATCTTTTTACCTCAGCGGGCAAGGTATCATCTATCAAAATATTTGGACCA